CTGTCCCGGGTGAAGCTGTCCCCTCCTGTCCCGCCCCTGTCCCGGGTGAAGCTGTCCCCTCCTGTCCCGCCCCTGTCCCGGGTGAAGCTGTCCCCGCCTGTCCCGCCCCTGTCCCGGGTGAAGCTGTCCCCTCCTGTCCCACTCGCTGTCCCGGGTGTCCCCGCCATGTCCCTGGGGGCGGGCGAGGGACCTGCGCACCCTTGGCCTGTGCCCGGCCCGCCCACGAAGGAAATTTAGGGGAAAAACACGCAACATTTGTTCTGTTAAGCCCCGCGGCAGCTGGGTGAGAAGCGCGTTCAGTGAGTGTTTTTTAACCCGTCCCCCAAAACASCTCCAGAAAACCCTTGAGGAGATGGGGCTGGTCTAATATGATACATGCAGCAGTGCCGGTGTCATTTASAGATGCCAAACTGGACTTATTAGATCTGCCTCAATTACTTAAATAGCTGGAAATACTATATTTTTTACAGGATTCTAGTCGGGATGGGGCAGCCCATAGGGCAGAAAGAGAATTATTTGAGTGAAGTAGTTACAGMACACATTTTTAAASTGTTGGATGTTGTCTATAGTTATTTTGGTTTGTCTCCAGTATATTCAGTCAGTACTGAGTTAATAATCCAGCAACTTCTGTTATGTATTTGCTGAGTATTGTTCACTAATTTAATGGCTTTCTTGTGGTGTGGGCAGATAGTTCAGTGTAAATTTTAAATAGTTTTGCCTACAGCAATTTTCAGTGGATAATGCTGGAATGTGTTTATTTTAACCCAAGCATTCTTTCTCCTACCTTATCAGCTATCTTTATTCCTACACGGCCCTTATCACAGAGGTATTTATTTATAATCCTTACTTTGCAGGATTAATACTCCACACAGAAAGCGAGGMCGAATAACGTGCACATGCCGAGTACTGGAGGAGAGGCTGAAGGACATCCTGTTTTGTTTCAGCAGTCTTGTTATTCTTTGGGGTGAAATGAAGAATTTGATTTTGTTTTGGAAACACTCATATTTCTGATGCAACTGAACTTCAGTAACCTTTTTGCAGCACAGATTTCAACTTTTTTTTTTTTTTTCTCTTGAACAAAGATGCAGAACCTGTCGGTGGTAGAAAGTCTTGCTAATACAGACAAATCACACCGTGGGTCTCTAAAAGACGTGGCAGCTGAAGCAGGTGATGTGTCTCTCGGGGAAAGTGGCTGTAACCGGAATGAAAGGACGAGTAAAGAAGAAATTGTTAATCTTGGAGTAATGCAGCAAAGCCTCCCTGTAATGARCAGCAAAGGGAGAAGCTGCGAGGGGCTTTCTGAGAGCAGCTTTAKTACCTCAGAACCCAGCGGTTCCTGGGGCGATTTTGAAGGCTTCAAGGAGCCCGCAGACAAATCCGAGAGACTCAGTCATAGCCTTGAAGTTTTGGTGAAGTCAACAGAAACTTCTGGAGCTGATCCGGACCCGAGCAGCGGAGGCTGCAGCGCTTCTGCTGCCCGCCTGAGTGCTGAGCCACCTCTGTCCTGTGGGATGCAGGAGGATTCGGGCTCTGGGAATGAGGTACGTGCTGACAGCAAACCGAGGATCAGAAATGTTTGGGCTCTGGGAATGAGGTACGTGCTGACAGCAAACCAAGGATCAGAAATGTTTGCGTGACTGCTTCCCGCACCTCAGGACTTGCATCTGTCATCTCTATAGAGGGTAATGCTGTGCGTGGGGAGAAACTGCCCAGTTACTTTGCAGCYAACTCAAGTGAACAAAAGCAACTTCTTTACAGTGTTTGACAAATACTTGAGTTATCCTGCTGGAAGGCTTTAGAGAAGGTAATGCACTACTTTGCTTCTAGGCACTAGGAATGAGTGAGCACGTAGGCACCGTGAACCTTGCCCTGAAGCACATTGCAGTTTAAAAGCTAGACAAGAAAGAGCATAGGAAACAGCAAACTGGGAAGGTGGGTGGCAAAAGAGGAGGGGACAGAAATTCTGTGAATTGCCTGCAAATTTACTGAAGTAAACCCACTGAGTTAGAAATTGGCAAAAGCAATGACTTTTATTATTTAGTATCCTTTCTGAATAATATCAACAGTTCTTGTAGAATTTTAGACTGATGGTGCCATACAATAAATTAATAGAAATTATTTAATACAATTAATTTTTAGCATYGGATATTACATTCTCTTTTACAATGTTTAAGCTAAAATTCTGAGTAAATAATGAAATGAATCCTTATCAGCACAAAAAAAAGTTCCATTTAAGGGTCATACCTTGTTGAGATGAATGTGTTTCCATGTGGACCAAACATGCATCACCATTTTGTTAGTAAGTAAAGTAACAAAAGGGAAGAAAACATGGAAATGCAGAACAAAACCCCCTTGTTCTTACCACTTTCCCAAATTACAGCTTTTGAAAAAAAGAGAACAATCGGCTAAGACTTCCATGGCTTTAATCTGTAGCAGTAATAACTTACTGTTTRTAGTCTGTTAGGGGGATTTTGGTGTTTTTAGGGAACCAAGGACTTTCTGGAGACAGGATTTTTTGCCCTTGCCTAGAMATTTTACTTGTTGCAGAGTTATTGCTAGTGAAAGCACCAAGATGCAGGTGTGATGAGCTGCCCATACTGAGTGTAGATACACAAAATACCTGGTTATTGATGCACAAAGAATTTGAATTTTTTGTAATGCTGGAAACATGGAAGAAGTCTTCCCCAATGAAGAAGTCTTTCGTTGGAAAAAGAGATTGTTTTAAAGACTGAAACTGAAATGGAATATAGCAGGTTGCTTGGTTTCTTTCCAAAAGCAATAGATCTTAATCTTACTGAAGCCTTTTCTTTATTTTGCATTTATTAAAGGCGAAAGGAAATGTCCAGTAAGAGCTAAGTAAGTTAACCACGCTTTGAGTTTCAAGTTGTCTTTTTTCTTCTCAAGGCAGAGAGACAGCAACAGAGCTTCTGGAGATTTCTTRGAGGGTGGAATATATGTGTAGCTTRYCCTTTATCCTGTGCTTTTTRTGTTGTTAGTTTTGGATCATAAACTCTTTGGACTGGGGACCTGTCTTCTATATGGTCAAAATTTAAAAAGACCAGGTGGGTTGGAAGGGACCCCTAGAAATCATCTCAGGTCAGAGGTCTGATCTTCAATATTTATTGCTTAAATTAATTAAATTATGTCAGTTGGGATCAGAATCATGTCTTTTAAGATGGAAATAATCATTAATTTCCTTGCAGTGGCTGGGTATTTTGCCTGCATGGTTGAATGCTACAGGGATTTTTCATGTGCTCTTTAACACTGGCCTCTGAGAGAGGGACTGGTGCATGTGTTTAAGCCATGGGGTATTTTGATATAATAGGATATAGAGGATTTATTCAGAAAGTACTGATGTGAACTTTGTACATTGATACTTTTATAATTAGTACAAAGCTAGAAGATAAAYGGAAATATACCCAAACTTAGCTTTAGAAACACTCACTGAAGTCGACAGTAATAGTTAAAAATCTCTTACTTTTTATGTGTCTTGGCYAAACTGTAAGTCAGTGACCTGTGTGTGTGTTGGAGCAGCAGCAAGGCTCTAAGGAGATGCTGCAACTGAAGCAGAGCTGTGCTTCCCTCGATGCCCTCCCTGGGGCTTTTCCCCTCATCCCAAAACCCAGAGCAGCTCCCTGGCTTTTTCTTGACTCCCATCCCATTCCAGTTTTGGTGCCTGCCTGGAAGTTGTCTTTTTTCCCTGCCCATGCATGCTTTAGCAAGTGTTACTTCACAGAATTCTGCTTCTCAGGCATCTGTCAGGATCCTCCACGTTGTATCCCTGTTGAAATAATTTACAAATTCATTGCAAGCATTGTAACACTTCAGGAAAGATTCAAAGGAATTTACCCAGGAGTCTTCAAATGCCCCAGCAGTGAATCATCAGGATAAGCATTTCAGCAAGGCCTTTCTTCAGGAGGGAGCAGCGTGGGGCACTAATTCTGTTCCTTGAAGCATGGTTGGAAGTGCAGAAACCTTCTACCAGCTCTGTTGGTTTTGCCCACTTATCCTTCGATTAAATYCATACTCTCTGAATATTCACCACGCTTCTCTGAGTTCAGTGTAATGAGACTGTGGAAATATTTCAGCTGCTTGAATTACAATTAAATGAAACTGTCAAAAAATGGAGTATCCCTGCTTAGGGTTTTCAGACTGAATTGTTGACTGCTGGGCAAAAACTCCAAACTGACCAACTCCATTCTTCAGTTTTCACTCAGTGTTCCTGCTCCTGGATTGCAGTCCCTGGGCAGGGTGGTGGAGTCAATTAATCACCTTTATTTGGAAAATTGCAGTGACTCCTTTGAAGGCATGAAAGGATACAACTTCTGAACCAGATGGCATGCTAATATCCCTCTAGGATGGGATGTAAATTATGCATGTTTTCCCTTGTATATGTATTTCTTAGTTGTCAGATAACTTTGTTACTTCCAGTAGCACTCCTGTGCCTGTGGCCAGTCCTCCAAACCTGCTCCTTGTCACTGCAATGGCATAAATCTGGCTCTAATTTTTAACATAGGCTGGAAAAAAATGGTACAAATATGAGGATATAGAAACATCCTCACACCAGCTTTTTTTCAGACTTACACAGTACAAGTGTTTTTTGGTAACTGTAGCATTTAGCAGGTGTGCTAAATTTGKTTGAATTAGGAGTGCTTGAATCCTGAGTTAGCAAAACAAGCTTTTGAAGTGATGTGTGCATCAGATTGGACCTGGACTGAATTCATTGAGCAGAAGGAGTCATAAGTGCTAAATATGCAAACCAATCTGTAAGTGAGAAGGTGGGAAGTTAAATAGTAAACTTCATCAGAAGCTCTGGGGCTCTTGCTTCCTCTAATTCTAGGTAAATAGTCAAAACATTGAAATATAAATGCAGTCCCTCTGCTATTAATATTAATATAAATATAAATTCTAAAACAAATACGATAGACAATCTCTAGAAATATTGTAGACTCTTTGGACTAGGTCCTTCATGAACTATGGGGATGGCACGTAAAGTGTGTGTAATAAAACTCTTTTTTTTTTCTAGATGGACCACAGCTATGAGGAGATATTTAAGTTGAGCTTTCCAGAAGTCATTGTAGCACAATCCAGAGAAAGCATCATAAGCTTAGAGCAARTACTTGATACAAATAATGAAGATGCTGGGATTCCTGAACTTTCGAAGAATCAATGTTGGTAATGAGTTTAGATTTACATTTTAAAAACAAACAAACAATAAAAAAAAAGAAAAAGTTCCTCAGCAATTACACTATTTATTTCATAATTTAAAAATCAGTGGTACACTTACAAATCTTTTTAGTACTATTCTTTTAAGTAATTAGATTTTTCAGATCTTACCAGTTTTGTAGCCCGTTGTAAGAGGAAATGGATGGTGTTTCAGCCATTGKAAAATAATGAAGGGAATATATCAAAATTACAAATTCCTGCTTAGGCTTTTTCCTGCTGTTGGTGTGYCTTCTTATGACTAAGCCTCTGGAATGCCAGAACCCAACAGGCAGCCTGTTCTTCCTGTTTGCTTGTCCTTTCTTTACAGCACATCCCACTTATTTCTTCATCATSGGAGGCTGCTGCTTCTACTGACAGTTACTTGCTTTTTCTTTTTTCCTCCCCCCAGTTTTCCCAGTTGGTAACTTCATGTTTAACCAGATGTGCTTCAGAATCTGTGGTKCATCTGACTTCTTTCCTGGGATATGTTAATAGCAATTAGTATAATTAACTAAGCTTTCTCTCAGGACAGCTGGAACATTTCTAGTTTTGTTACACGTTTTTTAAGGATCAGCAGCTTCTGAGCAGTACTGTAGATCCTGAACAGCGGTGCAGTTATTTTCTCATKACTCTGAAGCTTTGTGTCTAGAAAGCTGTGTCAGACCATGCTTGAGAAATGTCCTAAGACTCATAAGAAATGCAGTTATAACTTTTAATGTGGGCACCCTTTCGGCCGAGTTCCCTACRTCTGTGTTATATTTTAATCAGCATCAAACTTGTGGATAAATAGGATTGTAAAGGGGACTGCACTATTATAGCAGGGTACCCAGTAAAGACAAAAAAGCCCTGATCCACTGTGGTCAGTAACTAAGGTCAGTGACAGCTCATAACTAAGTCCAAGTGAATTTTTGTATGTGATGAATGCAGTAAGAATCCAAAGTATCTCATYGAGGGAATTCTCTACTTCTCACTGTTTCAGCAGTGAGTGCCTTTGGCTTGTTTTGTAGGTCRGGTGCTGCAGAGGTCAGGTGTGACCTACGGGATGGAGAAAGACCCTGGAGACAGAAAATGCAAAGTGCAGAACGAACAGGGCTGAGCTCTGCCCACATTTCACAGAAGCAACTGAATAACACGAGCTGGTGGCATGYAGCAGTSTCTGAAATGTGCTTCTCATGCCCTYCCTATCTGAGGGGCACAAACATACAGTTATGTTGACTTATTGCTTCCACTAATTGTTGTGCCAGCTAATTAGTGCATTGGGCTGATAGTCTGGACAAGTGTAGAAAGAGGTTTAAGACACCTTGCTTGTAGTAAAGATCTAAGTGGAGTGAAAATAACTGTTGGATACATTCACTGGAAGCCTCGTACAGCTCAAAACCTCAAATTGTGTTTTCTTTCCTAGCATGGATTCTGGAAACGTGTGGAGAACGCTCAGAGACTTTGATAATACCCCCAGCTTAAGACATCCCTGGAGTAAATCTCATTGCCAAGAAAACCTCTTGAGAGTTCTCGGAATAGATGCAAATCAAAAGGTAATTGAACACTTTCCATTCTGCCAGCATAAACACTGGGTTGGGAATCTGATCTCTGTGCTGCACATGCAGATGCTTGAGGGTCTAGATCTGGTTGAGTCACAAGGGTTTTTTTGTTTTTTTTTGTTTTTTTTTACAGAGAGCTTTTTAAGATGATTGCTTAGTGTTTTCCCATCTTTATGTGTAAGAAACTGAAATTGTGCAGGATCACACTTTGATTATCTTTACATTGAAGTCTGTCCTGCACAGTTGCCTGTTGTTAGRTGGTACATTCAGCTTTGGTATAGTTGGAGAATTAACTTTCGGGTGGTAGAGATGAAGAGTCAGCTCCCTGGTATGTGTGCAGTAGGATTGTTTACTTATTTTGCTCAGAGTGCAAGAAAATTGTTACCCTCATTATGCTTCTGTTAAGTGAAAATCAGATCTGAATCAGAGAGGCTGTTACAGTAATTATTGGATATTTACTGTATAGAAACTGAAAGTGTTCAGCTTYTCCTTTCATCACATTATTCCTCTGTCTGCTTTTGCAAGGCTTGAGGGAGAGTATCTTTTAAATTGGATTGAGACCAAACYAGAAGTGTTGAATAAACTGAAATAGAAATGTCTCAGTTTAATCTCTTGCTTTGAGAAGATAGAGGTGTCAGGGATGGTTTAGAATTCAGTTATTTAGTTGGGATTAATTAGTCACATGTAATTTTCAGAAGTAACTGTTTCAATTGATTATTTGAATGCTGAAGCATGGAGTTGGCAAGATACTGATATTATGGGCATATTTGACTTTTCTTGCRAGTTATATATGAACAGGACACTGCTGAAGGTAGAAACCTATTCTGCACTTGAAAGTCACTTTTATAGAATTGTCATTTAACAGAGAGAGAATGGGAGATATTTCTCCAACATAGTTAAACTCCCATTCTGTTCCTTTCTTGCTTCCCAGCATTAAATCAATACCCAGGCAGCCTTAATTTATATCATTACTTCTTGTCTTTTTCTGGAAGATTGTATTGCTTGTAAGAGCACTGATTAGGATGCATTTCTCAGCAATGCTTTGGYATTAATTAAGGGAAATTCTAATTGGAAATGGCTTTTTTTTGTTAATTGAAGTCACAGTTAGATTCATGTGTGTAGGTAGAACTGGTTCTGGCACAAAACTGCTTTAATGCAAAGGGGGAYAYATGATAAAATACAGCTTCAGAAAGYAMAATGTAATGGTTGTTATTTGAGGGAAACTTCTCTTCAGGTTATATGCATTGATACCAGATAGAAATGCATGAATGAGTTCATAAATAAAATGTAAATTATGTGTTTTCAGGACATTCCAGAGAGCCAGGCTGACATTTTTGAGGAATCAAATGCCAAAGATAATGAGCACTTTGGATTTGATGGATTCAGTGTTAATGATTGCAAAACATTGATCCAGACCAAGGTAAGGATTGCTCTGGAAGTGAGCAAYTCAGAGAACCACAGAGCATATTTARCATGCTCCTCTCAGCTGTTCCAGCACATGTAATGGTTTGGTCCTCTATGACTTTTGGGTGTGGAGTTGGCTTTTGCTCTTTGAAACTTCTCTGACAGCTTCAGAAAAGGTACCTTGGCACCTGCTCGTTTCTTGTGACAGCAGTGCAGGTTGGAAGGAAAATTGTGTCATAGTCCATTGCTGTAAAACAGCTCAATCATATTCTGCTTTAACAAGGTATTTTGGGGGAATATTCTGAATCCAAGGTCTCCCTTCCTCAGTGGAGAATAAACTTGAGCAGCTGTTGTCACTGTGGAGTCAGTTTCAGGCACACTTTCATTGCTCACTTTTATTTTATCTACTGCCTTGGACAGTGAAGGTGTACAAATGTTCTGGAGCCCTGTATACAAGAGATGATAGGGTAGAGAATTCAGAAATAAAAACTTTCAAAGACTGTCCAGCTTATTCCTTCATTATTCAGTTCTGCTTTCGTCAGTGAGTGTGTGAGGGAGGGATCACAGTGGCTGAATCACATTTGGAAATGTGTAAAATACAGGGACARTTTAGACAAAAGAGAAGTGGTTTGAGGTAGATGAAGAAGCAATAAAGGTAAGAAGAATTGTGATACAAAGRTAAGATAAATGGACAATATTTTTCTGGAATAGCCTCATAAGGAAAAGAAAAAACCCTGAAACTTGGTGTCTCAAAGAAAAGTGCATTACAAAACATATGTTGCTTTTTTTTAATTTAAAGTTAATCAAATCATGTAATGGGATGTTTTCCATTTATCTTCCTAGTTATGTCTCTTCTTTTTCTCTGAAATTTAAAAAATTATTAAACTTTTTTAAAATTAGGTTGTAATTTGCAAAGTGATTAACTTCCCRTAGGATGGAAAAAATTAATTGAGGTTTTCTTTTTCACTCAGCTTTCTGTGTCACCRGGCTCCAGACATGGTCACCTTTTCAGCTGTAACCTCTTTTTGAAGACCTCATCATCAAATGAAAATGCACAGTGTATAACAATCCCAAGGAAGAAGCAGATTTTCCCTACACACAACCTAAAAATGAAATTTTTCARTAGTGATGTTTGTTGAACTAAATGCACTTTTTAGATTTTTTTTTTGTTTTGTTTTTGAACTGAATGCAGTTTACCTTCATTTTGTTACTGATTTGGTACTATAGAGTATGGATTTTCTTTAGGAAAGTGACATTTTACTGTATATGAGGGACCTAAAGCCATGTTATTAGAAGATATTTCTCATGTTTAGTTGTGAAGTCAAATTTTGTAATTTTTCCCTGCAAAGTTTTGCTGCAGAGTTGTGTCTCTTATGGTAAATAAGAGATAACTTAAAAGCTTAAAGATAACTCTGGTGGACTCTCCTCAACTGACCTTTCAGGCCTTAATTCCTCTTCAATCAAAAACCTGCTTTCCCTGCCAAAATCTACACAAGTCTCAGGTGTGTTGTAACATGTGCCTTGCCACCATCTCTCCTACTTGCTCCAGGCTGGATCAGCTGAGATTTGTTACTTTGCCACTGCTAAGTGTGTAATGAGAGAAGCCTTCTTCATYTGGGGGCTTTCACTGGGGTTTAGCAGAATGAAAGTGGTGTAATTTATGTCTGGTGAAGCCTGCTGTGGTGATAGGGGTGGAGGCAGCAGAATGCTTTGTTCTGGTGTTGGTTTCTGACTGAAATAAATCACCTCGTTGAAGCTGATTGTCACAGGACTTGTGGGGTTCATTCAGCCATGCTTACACCAGGCTTGTGAAAGCTGAGCCGTTTTGTAGTTCAGGACTTGTGCTTCACAATTCCTGCCCTTTTAAAATTTTGTAGAAACTATCCACTGTTGCCCATTGTCCTGCATGCTTGAGTGCCATAGGGGATGCACTTCACTGTCATTCAGAGAGCCCGTGTTGGTTCCCTGCCAACTGCAACAGCTTAATTTATTCATTAGAAGTAACCTTTACACAAGTTACTTATCTATCTGTTGCTCTGGCCATTCTGAATATGAAAATTTTATATGGCTTTATTTTTTTAAAGAATTGCTAAGCACTGCAACTGGTATTTTATGTGTTGAAAGCAGGGAACAAAGCTGGGTGTTCCAAAACTAAGTCAGTTAATTATTTAATGATGTGCCTATTCTGTTCTTAGAATTAAAAATACTACAAAGCACTGTCAGACTTCCACCCTTAATCCAGTAAACTGTTCAGCAGTGACATTACAATTGCTGTAATAACTTCAGTAATGCTTRTGATACCTCAGTGCTATTAGGGATGAACTGTGCACTGGTTACTCAGCACATGGAGAAGGGCATTTGCAAAAGTCCTGTCTGAAAGTGGCCCTGCAGCTTTCCTGGCCCTGGAGGGACTCCTGCAATGCCAAACTGGAAACTCCATGTGGATACATGAGCAGGGTTAACTTTTTCAGTTAACCCTAGATTTGAATTAATTTTCAATTTCGCTCATACTCTTTCAGAGCATATTGAACACTCATTAAATAGGTTGTAGTCATAAGCTCACAAAATATCAAATTGCCAGTAAACGGTGAATGAGTTGTTGAGGTTGGTAATAAACATTAATAGAATCGATCATAAGATTAAAATCCCATTTTTATGCTTTCTGGCAAGCAGGGRCCTGCAGAGGGGCCTGTAGTGTGTGTAACACTCACTGATGCATCAGAGCCAGAGACCCTCCTTTCCTCTGGGCTTTCGAGTTTGCTTTTTGCTAACATTGGATGAATGTATGGAAAAAGTGTTTAAAAAATGTATGGAAAAAGTGTTCCTCTGGGAGAAGGATGAATACGTCATCTTTCCCTCATATTAGTGGATTTTACAGCCCTGTCCAAGGTACAGAATGGAAAGAAAGAAAGGTTCAGCCCTTATGATTCAGCARGGAAACTCCCGGGGTTCCAAAGGTGATGGGCTCCACCTTTCAGGTCYTTCTCTTTTGGATGGATGCTTTGGGCCACCTGAGCCCTCACTGCCTTTAAAATGGGCTGAAAAAGACAGCTGAGAGACCTTGTAACTCCCTTTCCAGTCTGAGATGAGCAAATTCACCTTTCCAGAGGGAAAAAAATAGCAAAATTGGAATGACAAAGTAATTCAATTCAGCCTCAAGGTTGGGGAGTTCTGGCAACTTTCCAGCCCCCATCAGAATTTGTACACAACCGGCACTTTTGGGGGTACCCACAAAGAGAAAGCCACACTCTCTCAAGTGACAAGAGATCAGGGGGACAAACCAAAGTGCAGCCAGTCATTTCCTGGCACAGTTCGTAGTAAAAACGTGGCCTCGCCTTCCGCGGTTCTCCTGGGAGCCGAGGGGTGCCGGAAGCCCCTCTGACGTGTCCTGCTCAAGTCGTGGCTGCTCATTTCCTTGAGTCATTTCCTTGAGTCATTTCCTCGTTCCTGCTGGCCCTGGCAGCCAGCCCAGGGTGCCAGTCCGTGCCCTCCAAGCGTAAAAAATAACATTTTGTACCTCGCTGTGTTCTAAGCTCTGGATTTCAACGTTTCTCATCTCAGTTGCGAGCTCTCAGCTGTGAAATTCTGAGTTTTGATGAACTGAACATGTCACTGTGCTCCGTGTTTGCGGAAAGCAAATACCACAGGCTTGTGACATTTGCTTAGGATTTGGAAAAGGTAAAAATTAGAGAAAGGCAGGAGTTCTGGACAGCAGAGCTAGACAGGAATGCATCTTGCTTCTGCTGGGATTATAGGGAAAATATACTCAGAGAACAAAGTTTTACAGAGTTCCAATCAGCAAAGTAATTACTGAAATTTCTTTGTGGAAGGAATGCTGTAAACAGCTATGCAAAAACAAAAACCCAAAACCAAGCTCATTGTGAAAGACTGAAATTTTTTTCAATGCGTTTTGTAAAATGTGGAATTTAATTAATTACAATAATTTTTAAAAGAGYAAAGAAAAGGAGTGGGGGACAGTCAGATTCCAGGACGATTTCTAATTGTACTATAAGCTCACCACTGGTTGCACATGAAGAAGATAGAGGGAAAAACAAACAAAAGGAATCTTGTAAAAGCTTAACAGTTTTGTTTTGTTTTGTTTTGTTTTTTACTGCAGGGTCATTACACGATTTAAAAGCACTCTGATATTTTTTAATTATGAGTATCAGTTTTAACAGTTTAAAAAATGGGACTTCCTGGAGTACTCCTACTCCAGTTAAGACAGCAGAGGGAATTTGGCTAAAACTGAGCTATCTTGAAATTAATTGTTAACCCCCAAACTTTCCTGTGGATCCGAGTTGAACTTTGCAGATCCACTCTGGAAGATTCAAAGAGAAGAAGTTTCTGCTCCTTCTATTGAAATATGTCTGAGATCCTCCTAAATTGCCTCCCTCAGCACAGCCTGGGTGCGAAAGAGCAGCCAGCTTGGCTTAGTGCTCTGCTGGGTGGGATAAGCAGGCCCTAATGAGGCAAAAATGTATGGAATGAAGTTGCAACATTTTTTGCTTTTTTTCAGTCAAGGCGAGATGCCTGTGAAYGCTGGGCAAATCCTGAAATGCCAAAAATCCTCCAGCTTCCCCGAACATCTGCTTTGTTAACACAYGCTTCTACAGACACACTTCTGCATCTCCAGAGCTTAACACCTCATTTCCAAATATTGATTTTGAATAACTCAGAATTAGTTTTGCAACTAATTGTAACTCATCTTCCTTACTGAACTAATGGATATGTTATTTAATTTTGTGTATTTTACTGTTGCTTGTGCTGGAAAAATGAGTCTTTTTAAGTGTCATTTCCAGATCACAGAGCTGGACAGAGCATCCCGAGCATCCCGAGCAACCAGACCTCCCCAGCCAGTTTGAAAGAACAATGCACTGACCCGTTCAGATCTTTCAGCATGGCTAAAATCAGTGCATATGAAAACCTAGACAACCTTAAAACAATCTCACTCGATCTGAAAGCTTCAAGAATATTTTCTCAACACTGAAGTGCAGCACACCCTCGTAAGGCAGTGTTTTCTGCTGCCAGGGGCACAGGCTCAGCTCTGTGCTGCAGCAAACACTGCAGCTTCCTCAGCAATGAGTCAGGCCMAGAGCTGATGGCACGATGCTCACACCACCACGTTTCTGTGCAGTTCCTTCAGATCTGTGCTTTTCACACTGTGGACAGCAGGCTTCAGGACAAAGGGAGGAAGAAGTGTAAGCAGCAGCCAGCAGTCTCACCAGTCAGTTGTTGCAAAGTGCTGTTATGCCTCAATATATGTATGTTTTTCCCTTAAAATGGAGGGAACTTGATGTAACTGTCAAAACAGCACATAAAGAGGTTCCTTTCTACTTAACAACTTCAAAATTAGGGGAAATGGCGATTCTGCCTCAATTTAAACTTTGAAGTTCACTGCAGAAGGGTCAGGATCTCGTTGTAGAGGTCCACAAGAAGAGGATGCAAACCTCTAAACCTGAAGCTGCCAGTTCAATTTCTACAAGCAGTCTTCAACTAGCCCAGAGTGGCAGGGCTTTTGCCCAGCCTGACAAGCACACGAGGTGTGYTGAGGACACTTGGATGTGACACTTGCTTTCAGGCACAGCAAAAACTGCAGGGGCTRGGAGTGCTACACAGGGCACTGGAGACACCAGAGGAGAGCTCAGGGCCAAAACCAYGGCACTTGTTCCCAGCAAGAATCCCCCCAACCCCACCAGGTGGAAAAGATGCTCTGTGGGCCATCCTTTGGTTACAGAGGGGATGCGATGGTGGAGTGTTTTTTAGTGAAAACTTAGAGCCAGAGCAAATATTAGATAGGATTAATAGMTGAAGGAGACAAAGCCTATGGATTGTGATAAATTAATTTAACAGTGTCGTTAGAGGATTCCAAACTGCAGACTTGGACTGCCAAGCTGGGAGGATGCAATRCTGTGTAAGACAAGGACAACTGAGCAGTGGAGGTGCAAAGACCATGAAGATCCCAGACCTTAGTATTATCTAATTATTGTATAATAATAGCTCAGGAATGTCAGTGTTCACAGTCCCTCTCTGGATGCACCCAGATCAAGCTGTGATGCTTCCCTCAAGGAACTCATCCTTCAGAATATGTGGAAACCTGATCTGGAATCCCACAATGGTGCCTGGCCTATGTGAGTTCTGTGAAGGTTTGTAAGGTAMTTACTGTTTCTTGGGACAAAAGAGGGGGGAGAGGGAAAGAAGGTACAAAACCCTAGAGAAAATGTTTATCTTTGTTAGTAAAAGATCAAAGGAAAGGCGGCAAGGTGCCRTAAGTTTTTTTTAAGCATTGTTTTTAAAAGAAATACTGAAGGCTCCAAAATATACTGGTTTAAATGCAAAACTGTGGCTTTTATTTCCAAACATACAATAAATAGGTCCACCACGACTAGCCTCTAACTTCATTTTACAYGGAAGGATTTTAAAATTAGTTTGTGCATATTTAAAAATTAAACTTCCCTTTGCACATAATTCCAAACATAACCGAACTGCATTACACACCAGCTCATGGTCTTGGCACTGTGACACAAGCAAYCAATTAGAAACAGAGCTTTGTAGCCAGGACTTGAACAAAAATTGCATTTTGAATTGTTGATAAAAGATCTACCAACAATTTCATCTTTTTCTGCAGTATACAAAAAACTTTAGTATGTAAATGTTGAAAAGCAAGTTGTCTTCTGTTTCTGTAGAGACTGCAAGGTAAGTGGATTTATTAAGTGTTCACTATTTGCTATATGATACAATTTTCATACCAAAATATCTTTACTGCATAGTAACATTCCATGTTTTCAAATGCAAAAAGAGATTAGATGCAGTCTTTTTATTTTATCCCTCATTGCTGAATTTAAAGACATTTTTAACCGCATCTCTGTTTCATCACAGTGCAGAAGGCCCTTAATATTTCAAGGATTTATTCAGTCRTATTTTTAATACAAAAGTAGAGGCTGAGGAAAAGCCAGAGTAGTCTATACACAATGCACAATCTGTGTACATTCTGAAGCTGTACCTCTTCAAGAACTAGTTATACACTCTTCAAACAAATCCCTTTATCCAGCAATTCAAAATACTTTAGATCAGAAGTTTTATATTAGAATCAATACAATATATGCATATAAATACATTTATACCYTTCGGTTGCTAAACAACCCAGATGGCTGCGAGGATGTGACCTGAAATGGTTCTCCATTGGCTTGGGATACCAAATTATGTCGGCAGCTAACTGTTAACCAAGAGTCACAGTAAAAAATGGAGATCTCTGCACAAGGTAGGTGTGCCACAGCATCAGTTAAGACTAGAAATACCAGATGACACCCTGGCCCCTTCAACAGGGCCAGGATTTCAATTTCTGTGAGATGCAACACACAGGCAACATTTTTTTCCCTCTGCCGACATTCCGTTCATAAAAAGCCTCAGCAGAACAACAAAACACCAAAAAATACAACAAACCAAAGCAAAGGTTTTACAGCTGCAAATTTCCAAGACAGATGCTGCAGCTTTCAAGAACAAAGTAAAAGCTTTATAATTAAAAAAMA